TAAAATTACTCGGATTATTTTCCACGCAATATTACATTAAACTGCGAACGTCTACGGCCCTCTCAACCGGCAGCTTAGCCTCGAAAATGGCAGAGGGAGTGGTTCGTAATTGAGTACACAAGATCGTTAGAGGAACGAACAGGGCGGCCATAAGAAATAACACAGTGCTTAATAGAAATAAAGTAACAATGTATTCTACAAATCTCTAGTTTAACAAGTTGGTGGCAATAGCAGGCGATAGAAACAGTAATTTTAAGACGTACTTTTCTCGGTACGCTTCTAATAACGTAGAACAATGGCATTAATGATTAGCGGCACAAGCTCACGCCTCTCCCGGATAATTCGAGCAAGATCTCGCGAACAAAAGTTCGGTCCTTTGATAGCCGCGATAGATAATGGTTACGGCGTAACATCAAACACGGCGTGATCTCGTGCTTGCTCGCGAGGATTTCGAGTTGCCGTACAGAGCGTTAGAAAGAGATCACAAATACGCGGACAACGTTCCGACACCGAGATACAATACAACAATTGCGCGATAACATTTAACGATAATGACTAGGCTGTGGCTTAGGCGGATGCGAAAACGACAACGACTCTAACGGAATTATCGTACTGCGTAATCAGGGGAGGCGGCGCGCTCATACGACATTAACGCGAGAAAACTGACGCAATCGCAATTCCGTGTGCGCTGTGTAAATGAAAACGAAACCGATAATAATACGCGCCTCCCCTACAAGAAATTGGCAACCTTACAATTGATTGACGTCCGTCTCGTCCGGTAGTCCTCCTGGTAGCTCTCTTCGTTCGCTCTCGTTTTACCGTCCTGAGTCCTCACACGTTCCCGATGCTGTAGCCACAGCATAAGTGCCGGGCGCTGATTCTTTCGGAGGTACGCAGTGATCGCTGTTTCCTACGAGGGGGTCTAATCGCGCTTAATTAGCGCGCTGCCTCGCGTCTCCGCGAATAGCGTGATTTGTGTCGCTAGCATATCCTGTGTTCTGGCGCGGAATATAATTGAGAGCCGCAGGGTTTCTTCGGCTGCTTCGGGAACTCTCCCTGATTTTCTGTAGGTAAGAGATTCGTATCTCGGCGGCGGCATCCCCGTGGTCGGTACCTCCTTACCCAACCGTGGTTTCAGCCCCGCAGGGGAGGTCTCCTCGAGCTCCGTCGTGGGGTCTCTCGCCGACCTTGGGCGTAGAGTGGCCATCCCCGGTTGCTGCCCTTGCGGTTTTCTCATCGGAGAAAATGCGCCTGTAATGCGATGTAATGAGCGACAGAATCTCGAAATAAAACGACAATTAAAGCATGGAGCGATATGGCCTGCGTGTCACTCTCTCAACAAGATGTTGTGCGCCCCGGCCAACCTTTTCCTCTCCTACTCCGCCTTTAAACCTCTGTTGGCTGTCCTTCCTCCGCTGGTTCGATCAGACGACTCGTGATATATAGGGTTGCAAAGTAGTGTTGCCAAGTATCCTGCAAGACTCGCAGCACGACAGAGCACAGAAAACAAAAAGAAATTCGATACAGAATATCTGCGAGACGCGCGATACCGAAACAGCAAAAAGCGCACGCCTGTGCGTCCACCTTCTAAAGGTGGAAGGACCTAGGACGCCAGCGGCGCTGTTCGGTCGGGTCTTATGACCTTTATGGACGGAACATGTCACATCACAATATATATATATATATATATATACACTGCTAAAAAAAATTATGGCTTAAAAAAATTGTGGGAAAAATTGACCAACTTTGACTAACGATAACTTTGCGAAAAAAATCGCAGTGACTTATTTTTTTTTTAAATCAAAGGGGAAAGTTCGAACTTTATGCTGCTGCAAACGACATTCCCCCAAAAAATTTTACAAAGTCCGTGCATTCCGTCAAACTGCAATTTTCAAAACGACAAACACACCGTCGTGTTGAGTTACAGTGGCAGAGGTGCATCAAACTTAAAATCTGGTCATATCACTTAAATCTATAGTGTCAAATTTAACCTAATGTGAGTCGCCACTGCTCCTACTAAATATATCGTTATTTTTTACTAATATGATAATTAAATTTGACCCTATAAAATTTAACAATGTAGAGTCTTAAAGTAGAGATTTCAAACTTTAATTTTAAAAAACACGTTATTGTACGAATTTTTCGCAAAGTTATTAGTCAGAGTTGGCCAATTTTTGTCCATAATTTCTCTCTCTCTCTCTCTCTCTCTCTCTATGCCATTTTTTTGAGTAGTGTATATAGAGGAAAGTCGCCGATACTGACATAGGCCTAAAGCGAACCCCCTTATTTCTCAGAAACTAACTATTGTACTTTATTATAACACTAATAAAAATATAATCTATTTAGTTAATTAAAAAAGTGTAAATCCATAATCCGTATATGTATGGCTTGTTTCTATACGAAATCAGCTAAAAACGAATTTTATGTACTTATGCGAAAATAAAATTCTCATGATTTTTTTTGCAAATTGCGTAATTTTAATAATAGTAACTATAATATATTACTAATAATATTACGTCGTTTCAAATGCTTGTAATTTCCTAAATCAGTTTTATTTAGGTATATTATTTTTTTCCTAGTTTTTTTATAATACGGTTTTAAATATAAAATCGGGGTACAGCATAAACCGGCACACCTGTCTGTAAAATAAATCATGAGCTAACTTAATATGTGAAATGTTGCTTTATAGTGTCAAATATCTGTCGGAGCTGAAGGCAATGTTACACAATACTGGAAAGCCCTTGAAAAACTATCGCGTTACATATTTGCATCTTGCAGAACAGCATAAAATAAAGCATATAATTCAACAAAAATGTTTTATATCGTAGTGAAAAAATTTTGGAAAATTTTATATGCATTCACTTGCCTTTTATACAAATAATTTCTGTAAAAGAAAAAGAATAGGAGTATGTGGCATTACTGCCCACTGTGTCAGTTTTGGAGCCCATTTTGTCAAACGCTCATTTTTGCGTATCTTACGAAAAAATTATTATATAATAAAATATTATATAATAATAATTATTGCAAAATTACAGACAATATTGTAAAAACTGTTAAGCGTTATCTGACAGAAGACACTTTTTAGTTTATATTTATGTATTTAAAGTTTTATTTTTATCTTTTGTTTAAGAAATATTGTCTAAAAACAAAGTTATATGTCGATATCCGCGACCTTCTCTTACTAATATATATATATGCATATATTTCCGTACATACACCGATTATTGCGAGGAATATTACTAAAGCCTCGGTAGTCTAAAGGCTTAGGACGCTCGTACGGAATACAAGAGATCCAGGTTCGACTCCTGATCGAGGTAATATTTTTCGCAAAATTTATTTACAGTTTTTCATCTTCCTAATATAATGCCTGATTGAGCATCGAATTAATTAAAAATTGCATGTCAATTTAATTTAATTTGTGATATTATTTCAATAGTTTAATTGCGTTTGTAAGTCCGAAAAACCAATTCGACACGCAGTTCTAATGACTATAAATATGGTATAATACGCATATACATATATAGTGTATATATATATATATATATAATTTACATTGAATTACTTAAGCATTAAAGATTCAGCTTCGACCGTTATAGGCATTTAGTTTCTAGTTTATCGATTGTGTTTTCACGTACGGTCTAAAAAGATTCTTATTGCCTATGTTTTAATTCTGAAAAAGGGTTTCTAAAATCTGTAAAAGAAGTATATATGAAAATGCGTTACAAAAATTAGTGTTTAGTTGATAAAACGGACGACTTTATGATCTCCTTAAACTAATTAACTTCTTATTTTTATGTTCGCTTTATTTTTATATAGTTATAATGAGTGTTAGTATATTTATAATCATTCATATTTTTAATTTCTCTTTGTAGTATTTCAAAGCAAAAAGTTAGCAAAGAATTCTGGTATATCAGTTTTTTGTTCACAATATTTTATACGCGTTTTTTTGAAAGAGAGAGCACTAGCGCAAGTCCCCAAATTGTCAGGTCGGCATGATCACATATTGCAAATCCTGTACTATATACTATCTTGTCAAAACTTTAGCAGCAGCCAAACATGGTCTATCGTCTCAGTCAATGTTGGCAAAAATACAATAGAAAGCAAGCAATTTCCATGTCCTGATATGCTTCAAAAACGTTATAAAAATGAAGAAATTCTAAAGATAGTAATTTTATGTTGGCACAATATGTCAACAGAAATTAAATCTGAGCATAATATGATTTCATACTCTACTGGCAAATATTGTTAGAAATCGAACTTATTCACTTGCACGGCAAGATGGTAAAAACATGGTAGAAATCGAGCATGCGTCTAAAAAAATAACAGTAAAAACAATAAAATTACAGCATGTTGTCACTAAATTATGACAAAAATACCAATATTATGTTAGATATGTTATATCAATATCGAACTATAGTTCTTTCGTTTATTGCTATATGACGTATTTTTCTTGTATTCAAACTTCTGTGTTACAGGTAAATATAAAGACTACAAAATGCAGCTAATGAAAATAAAGTGTGTAGTTTTTGTTTCTATCAGCTTATTTTCTGATACAATTCCAATATAGGATTTAGAAAATATTAAATTGGTTATTGAAAACTCGGATAACAATTCTTTCTATGGAGAATTGCTTTTTCACTGACTACTTGGCCTCAAAATAAAAGTTCAATTTCTATTTCATAAGTCTTGTTTGTAAGTTTTACAGATTATTAAACAAATTAATTAAGAAGCGCAATATTCTAATTTGTTAAAAAGTATTCTGATTTATTTTTGTGTATTTATACTATTATATAATAAATCATCATACGATTTCTGCTATGCTGCAAGTTGCTGTATTGCAAGTGTTCTGCTACTGATAGCTGATAGGCCATGTTCTATCTCGAGAAACTTTGATATCTTTATTCATAATCACTTGTTTTGTCAATTAGTATATCACATGCTTTTCACAAAATTATAAAAATAACAACTTCAATTTTCATGTTGAAAAAAAAATATAACAGAATCTTCGAGTACTGCACCAGAGGTACCAGAACCCTCAGAAATTGGAGTTGTTGATGAAGATCACGGTGCTTCGTCGGATATTTCTGATAACTCTTTAGTCGAATGTAATACAGTATTGGGAAAACAGCCTCCATTTTGGGTTCCAGATAGTGATGCATCTAGTTGTATGTTGTGTGATGTTAAATTTACTGTACTTAAAAGACGTCATCATTGTCGTGCTTGTGGTAAAGTACGTATTTATTGAATTTAAAAAATAAAGACAAACCAGTTATATTATTTATTGATTGATATATTACGCAATATCGTTTATTTTATAAATTAATTTTTCTAAATTTGTAATATTGTATTTCTTTTTTTGTAACAATCCAATATTTAAATTTACAACACATTTTGCAGGTACTATGTAACAAATGTTGCAATATGAAATACAGATTAGAATACCAGGGAAATATTGATTCCCGCGTTTGTGTCTCGTGTTTTCATCTACTCACAAAAGGTAAAAAGAATTATTATACATATACACACAGGATATTCCAATATAATCACCTAAAAATATGGTTTTCTTGAACTAAAACGGAGCAATCCTTTTAAATTTAAATAACGTATTGTTTTTGAGTTATTCAATTTTTTAACAATCGAAAAATATAAAAATATGATTTTTTTTTCAAAAAAGCTAATTTTTTTCTTTACATCTCCATACAAAAATATTTAATAATATTTATAATATTTATAATATTGATAATACATGAAGTATCTTCAAAACGATTTTTAATAACATATTTTATATACAGAATATTGAAAGAAATATAATTACCATGTATAAGAAAATTTTTCAATTTAGTCAATAATAATTTTAAAATATTACCCATCGGGCTCTCGACATTAATGAAAAACAATAATATAGTATATGGACAATGAGAGCTATATACAGCGCGGTAATTTTTGCGCAATTAACTTACAAATCAAATAGTGTGTGTTCACATGATATATTAAGAACAATAATAATTAATACAGACTCAAAATTATAGATGTTTCGGTTTACTTCAAACCATCTTCAGCAATTTTTCATTTCAAATCAATATCACATATGTGCCGTTGGAATCATACGGCAGTACTGAAACCATGCTCTATGCGAGACCGAGGGTGATTGCTCCCTACTGTCAGGTTAGAAATTTCCCAAATTATTGTCTATTCGTTGTTTAGGCGAAAGACTAACTAGAAATCAACAATAATCGTAACCGTTACTCACATTAATCAATCAATCAATGTCTTTCTCATTACACTCACCCTCCTTCTCCATAGATCGCCCCTCAGTTACTTCACACACCATTCAAAATTGTATAGATACGATTAAAAAACGCAATTTCCGATTTAGTAAAAAGAATGAGGTATGTAATAACCAGGGATGGGAAAGTTACTTTGTAAAAGTAATTAATTACAGTTACAGTTTTTCTCTTTCAAAAAGTAATTAATTACCGTTACAAGTTATTGACTCTGAAAAGTAATTCGTTACAGTTACAGTTACTGAAAAAGTAACTTTAAGTTACTTTTAAGTTACTTTTTTC